GACTTTACCATCCACACTGACAGAACCATCCAGGCAAATAGACTGGACATAATTATTAAAGATTTTAAAGAAAAGACCTGTCTCCTTATTGATATGAGTGTACCTTGTGACCAAAATATTGCTCATAAAGAATTTGACAAGCTCAGCAAGTACAAAGATCTAGAGATAGAGATTAAAAAAATGTGGAGTCTGAAAGCTACCACCGTCCCTGTAATTGTTGGAGCACTTGGGATGAAAAAAAAGCAAACTAAAAAACACCTTGACAAAATTCCTGGTAACCCACAACTACAAGAGATACAAAAAATCGTACTAACTAGCACTGCACACATTCTAAGAAAAGCACTATCTATTTAAATCCTACCGCTGATAATAATTGAATTTAATCTTTTATTAATCTATTTTATAACATAGAACTTATTTTTATACCATTTTTTCTTTATATATATATATATATATATATATATATATATATATATATATATATATATATATATATATATATATATTTTTTTTTTTTTTTTTTTTTTTTTTTTTTTTTTTAGAACAATATTTTAAAACTAATTAGCGGTGGAAATGTATCTCAAAACCCTTTTGCTTGCCTCAGGAGACTGGGTGTCTCCCGGTGAGTAACTGTATTTAACATGCATACAAAAGAAAAAAGTATATAATAATAATAATAATAATAAGTATATAATAATAATAATAATAATAATAATAATAATAATAATGATAATAATAATAATAATAATAATAATAATAATAATAATAATTAAAAAAATTATAATAATAATGATGATAATGATAACAATGATAATAATAGACAGACAGAGAAAAAGACAGATAGACATAAATGTTAATCTTAGACCATGACCATGTGTTTATGATTATGTTTATGCGTTTGTGTGTGTAGATAGATATCGAATAGATAGATAGACAGATAGATGGAGAGACAGAGAGGGAGAGAGAATGTGTTTGTGTAATGGGAGATACGTTTATATGTATGGTACAAACGGAAGCAAGCTGAACCGTCTGGTGCTTGACAGTCCAATACAGAGTCCACATCCGTCATTCTATTTGAGGGTTTACCAATAAAGTTTGAAAATGCGAGTCACAAACATTAGAAAGTAAGCTACAGAAATCATCATAAAAACCTCCTTTATTATATTCTTCGTACGGAAAAATAATGTATTCATATAGAGTTTTATGATATTTATCATTAATTCATTTACAGATATAACAAAAGTGAATATCATTGCTACTGTTAGTAGTATTGTTAATAATAAATCTACTTCGACTATTGTGGTAGCTATTGCAACTACTATTAAAGACAATAATAGTGACGTTCCTTAAAGAAATTATACAAAAAGACGAAAAATACCAAATTCATGTAACAGTGAAAATAAAGTGGTAAAGCTATCAATGGCAATTGAAACAAATATATCAGCAGTGACTGATATGAATAAGAACAAGAGCAACAATAAAATTATTCGTTACGAGCAGCAACATTAGCTATGATAACGAAAAAAAAAACAAGATTACGCTAAGTATATAGAAAGAAAAGAAAAGACGATAAAAGTAGAGAAGAGAGAGAGAGACGTACGTATGTATGTACACACACACACACACACACACACACACACACACACACATATATATATATATATATATATATATATATATATATATATATATATATATATATATATATATATATATATATGTATATATATAATAATAATAATAATAATAATAATAATAATAATGGTAATAGTAATAATAATAATAATAACAATAATAAAAACAATAATAACAATAATAATAACAATGACAATTATGACAATAGTAACAAAAATAATAATGATAACAATAGTAACAAAAATAATAATGATAACAATAGTAATGATAATAATAATAAGGATAATAATAATAACAATAATATTAATAATAATAATATTAATAATAATAATAACAATAATAATAATAATAATAATAATAATAATAATAATAATAGGAGTAATACAAACAACATCTGTAATTAATAATGATAATAATAACAATAATAATATTAACAGCAATAATAATAATAATAATAATAATAATAATGATAATAATAATAATAATAATAATAATATTGATAATAATAACAATAATAATAATAATGATAATAATGATAATAAAAACAACAAAGATAATAATAATAACTGTGATAATAATATCAGAAATAAAACAAAACAAAAATAACAAAAAATAATAAAATTAATAACAATGACAATTATGACAATAGTAACAAAAATAATAATGATAACAATAGTAACAAAAATAATAATGATAACAATAGTAATGATAATAATAATAAGGATAATAATAATAACAATAATAATAATAATAATAATATTAATAATAATAATAACAATAATAATAATAATAATAATAATAATAATAATAATAATAGGAGTAATACAAACAACATCTGTAATTAATAATGATAATAATAACAATA